GGGGGGGTGAAGAGGCTGCAGGCACAGGGATTTGAACCAGTGGGAGCAGGGATTATGCAAGTGCTTTACACAGGTCCCCTAGATATTAAGCAGCAGTTAACCCTTGCACTGCAGGAGTAGCCCCACTGCAGGAGGTAGGCTTTAAGCACATCCAATAGCTGCTCACGTATTGCAGCCATCTGTGTGGGTGCAGACAAGTGCCCTTTTTGACACCTTTGATCCTCTTTGTAAAAAAGGCAATGATGCTGTTCCATACAGAAAAAAAAATGACGTGTTAAAGAAAAATAGAGGAGTTTGTGTCCTGGGAAAAGATTTACCAAACCTTATGCATGTTTCATTCACTAAGTATCATTCAGTTTTGAACGTCAATGTATCATTTCCCTTGTAAAAATGTACCCTGAATTTGTGTGCTCCAAGATTCAGAGCCTTGCATTCAGATGCACGGAGGAGTTAATCTTCCTCCAAGAGTCGATCAGAATGATGCATTGCAGATAGCAGGAGAGTGTCACAGCAATAAAACCAATGGCACACTGCACCCATCCCAGAAATCCCTCCTTACATCATGTTGTGACTGTGCAGTAAAAAGGCTTCTATTTTTAATCCCTGGGAATTAGCACATAATGCAGTAATACGGCTGAGTGGTTTTCATGTCTAGAAACACAGCTTCCTGCAGATCTGAGGCAGGCAACCGCTGTCTAATGGCGGTGGTACTACAAGTTACAGCATGCCCAGCTACTAAATTAAAAAAATAAAAATAAAAAAGTAACCAGCCATTTTCAAGTGGTATTAAACAAATCCCAGGGTATCTTTTCCTTGTAACGAAAATCACAAGTGATTACGTTGTAGCTAGCCTGAAGGCCCAGCGTGCCTCGCCTGGAAGGCAAGCCATGTATACTTTTCGTTTTTAAATCATTTTCACATCTCCAGGGGTCTCTATTAAAAGTCTCTGCAACCCCATATTACATTACCATGTCCTGGGATTGGTAGTTCGAAAAGAGAACGTAAATAGTAACAGGAGCACTTAACAAGCCAATATCCTCATCCAGAACTGGCCAAACAATATGGCCTCAGTGATGAACGGAAGAATCTAATGTGTTAATAAAACTAGTTTAGGATTAGTGATCAGTAAGCCTCCCATTCACAGGAGTGTCTTCAGGCCATTTTGACACTTATTTTAGCTAATTTTTGTGCACGTTTAAGACATTTTGAGACAGCCAAAAATGTGGGATTCTGCCCATCCTTTTGACGTACACATAACAGGAACCTCAGGTGTGAACGGGCACCATTGAAAATAATGGGATTCTTTATGTTCAGCATTGTCAGGATTTAGGAAACACAGCTGTGAATGGAGGATATTATATATTTTTCAAATACATCATTGCACAACATTATGACATAAGGGAAGGAAATAAAATCAAGTTGTCTATGTTATATACTGTCTGGATCCATCAACAGGGTGCTAGGACAGATTTACCAGCCATTTAAAAACTATTAGACGATAGATAGATAGATAGATAGATAGATAGATAGATAGATAGATAGATAGATAGATAGATAGAATACACATACAAGATTTGCTGCACTAATAAACACACTCGCCATCCACATTTTACAAATTAGCTCAATCTAATCCCATTCACTTAAGTTCACCAAATATCAGGATTTCCCATGTTGCAT